AGTGACTTCGAAGGGCCGAGGAGATTGGAGGAGAGTTATCCCCATTCGAAACTTATTTTAGAATTGATCTCCACGTGAATGTTGACTGAAAGGGCGGGGCGGGGGCACATACACCAGAATATGCCTCCCCTTTAATGCTCTCTTCCAAAGTTAATCTTTCCCACGCCAGAGAAAAGCTGCCCACTCGAAAATGCTGAGAGATTTTCTTGTTGTGGGAAGAGGCCACGCTACTTGAAAAGTCCTGTTGAAATCCTCGGGGTTCAAACACGTTTCCAGGTTGAGAAAGTGCAGAGGACGGAGGGAGGAAGGGAGAGAAGGAAGGGGCGAGCTCTGAAAAGACATTAATGAACCGTGTCAGGGCTAATTACCCCGGGAAAGTCCGAAGGAGTTGGGCACAAGGCAGAAGATGGCCCAAGGGAGGCCAACACGAGGATCCCTTTAATGAGCAGAGAACCAGGAAGAGGAAGCATCCCTCCGACCCAAAGCTGAAATCTTAGGCATACTCAAAGGACAGCAGGAGGGGGGGGCAAAGCTATGGGGGGGGGGGATGGACTCCTAGGAGCTTCAATTAACTCGGGAATAAGTTATTCCTTGAGTTCGGAGAGTCAATACATCAAATCCACCAACAAGAACAATTCTGGGCATGGACATTTCAGGAGCGACGGGAGAAGATTTTGCCCATCTCGACATCAAAGAGGATTTGAGGGGTTTTTTGGGGGGGGGGGTCGCTTTCCTCCTTTCCTAATTGCGACACACTCTAGAATGAATGTCGTTTGACACCGCTTCAGTTACCATGGCTCAATGCTATGGAAGCCTGGGTTCACAAACTGAGTTGCTGTGAGTTTTCCGGACTGTATGGCCATGTTCCCGAAGCATTCTCTCCTGAGGTTTCGCCCACATCTATGGCAGGCATCCTCAGTGGTTGGGGGGTCTTCAGGAGAATCTCAGGAGAGAATGCTACAGGAACATGGCCATACAGCCCGGAAAACTCACAGCAAACCGGTGATTCCGGCCATGAAAGCCTTCGACAACACATTGTGGTTCAGAAAGCTACAGAGACCTCATCACACTAGAGAATGAATCCACTTCTGGTTTCTGCCTCCTGCAGAATTCTGGAGGTTGCAGATTAGGGCTCCTCCCTAAACTACAAAGCCCAGAATTCTGCAGGAGGCAGAAACCAGACTTAAAGTGGATTCATTCTCTAGTGTGATGTAGCAGCTTTCTTTGGTAAACATAATTCCACAACATTGAGTCATGGCAGTCAAAGTGGTGCCAAACTGCGTTAATTCTCCTCTGCAGATGCGCCTCGTGAGCCTACTCCCCGATGCAGGGATTTCCTTGGATATCAAGGCCCTTTAGTCCCTCTTTCCATTGGTGTGCATGATATTTTTCCCTTTTCTTTTTTCCTATTAAAGCACTATCCTTAACAGCAGAGACTGGACGCAACCCTCCTGACCTGTTTGCTCAGAAACAGCAAGTCCCTCTCTCTTCAGGGGCACGTCTACACTGAGCAGGTAATGCGGGATGAAAACAACATAGGCGGAAGGAAGACCTGGGTCCATCTAGGGGCCTTTTCACACAGCCAAACAACCCAGAATATCAAGGCAGAAAACCCCACAACTGAGTTATCTGAGTCCACACTGCCATATATTCTAGTCCAAAGCAGAAAATGTGGGATTTTATTCAGCTGTGTGGAAGGGGCCTAGAATGAATGCAGTTCGATACCACTTCTCAACTCCCACGTTGTAGTTTTACAAGGTCATTAGCCTTCTCTCTCTGCCAAAGAGTGCAGAGAATGACAAATCCAAGGGCTCCACAGCATTGAGCCATGAAAGTAGTGTGGAACTGCATTCAGGAGACAGTGTAGATTAAACATGGGCAAACTTCGGCCCTCCAAGTGTTTTGGACTTCAACTCCCACCATTCCTAACAGCCTACCGGAATGGTGGGAGGTGAAGTCCAAAACACCTGGAGGGCCGAAGTTTGCCCATGCCTGGTGTAGCTATACCCCTGCACCGGGTTGCAGCCTAGGAATGGTGCAGTTTGACGTCACTTTCCTTTCCCCCCCTTCTCCTCTCTCCCAAAAACCCAAAACCACCCGACACAGAGAGCGCGCCCTGAAGCCAAGACCTCCGGGTGTTTAATAAGAAATATCCCGAAGATACCAGAACTGATTAAACCAGATCGGGGGAGGAAAAAAGAGAGGAGCTCTTTGATTTGGAGTGGGACAGAGCAGCCAAACCCCTTTCGGCTCCGACGGGCTTCACCTGGAAACCAGCTCAGGGTTTTCCTCGCGTATCCACTGAACTCCTGAATGCTCCTTCTTGTTACCTATCTCCCTCTTCTTGCGCATAATAGAGCGACTTGGATGGATGGGGTTTTTCTTTTCTGTTCTCTTTCCTATTCACGATTCCAAACGTGATAAACCGAGTTTTAGTTCCGCCTCACAATGGTCTGATTTAGATTTCCCCGTCCACCTATTCAAAAGCCAAGACAAAGGCAGTCTTTGGAGGAGAGGATACCTTACACTTCACCTGGCCTAGGCAGGGAAGGGCAATGGAGATTAACATCTTGTAAGGAACTCAGCAAGAAAACAGAGGACAGCTCTCTCTCGCTCGCTCTCTTTTTCTCCCCTGCTTCAGGCTTTTTATTTAAACTCTTTGTTCCAAAATGAACAGAGTGGTCAGTCGGAGTCTAAATGTACAGATATCGTCGAACAGAGACGTCTAATTTTAAATTAGAACACACCAGCAAACTCATTTCCAGACACGTCAAAGGTTAAAACCAATACTTAAAAACTTTCCCTGCTCCCCCCTCCCCTCAGAAACCGTATATTACAGAAAACCAATAAAATAAAAACAAGGGGAAAAGGGGAAAATGAAACTCAGTACAGGTTAGCCAACTTGGTTCACAAACATTAATCCAAATATACAGATTACAAAAGTAAAGGTGGGCTGGATGGATGGCTGGAGAAGGGGGTTGGGAAGGAGCTCGCCGCCTCTCCCGCTCCACCAGACTCTGCCACTGAAAAGTGTGGGTTTTAATAGGAATCATCATCATATTTTTCTCACCCAGGCCAAGTTGGCTGTGCAACTCGTGTGGGAAAAAGAAGGAGGGAGGGAGGGAGGAAAGAAGGAAGGAAGCGAGGGAGTGAAGGGAAGGGAAGAGAGGAAAGGGAAGGGAGTGAAGGAAGGGAAGGGAATAGAGGAAAGGGAGGAAAGGAAGGAAAGGAAAAGGAGTGAAGGAAAGGAAAGGAAAGAAGGAAGGAAGAAGGAGGGAGTGAAGGAAAAAAAAAGAAAGGCAGGAAAGGGAAAGGAGTGAAGGAAAGGAAATGAAAGGAAGGGAAGGGGGACTGGGCTTCTCTTCTCGGTACATGCCTGATTTGGGAAACATCTCCATAATTATAAATATATAATTATCCCTCAGACGTGAAACCTAGCTTCTTTCTTTTAAAAGAAAAAAAACAACAACAACAGAAGCTCTGAATCAAATCGGAATCCTGAAAGTAACGTAGTTACTTTTTCTTTACACAATAAAAGGCGCCACTAAACTCGTTTATAGTCTGGACTTCTTGGGCTGGATCTTCACTGCCATATAGTCCAGCAGGCAATCTAGATGATCTGATTTAAACTGGACTATAAGAGTCTACTCTATCACATAATCCAGTTCAAAGCAGATAATCTAGATTTGATATGGCAGTGTACAAAGGCCTAGGACACACGTCTGATGGAAAACAAGTCCCACTGGAAGGAGAGGGGGAAGGAGGGCAGCAAGAAGGGAAAGGAGTGAGGAAGGAGGGAGAGAGGAAAGAGAAGGAAGGACATAGGGAATGGAAGGAAGGAAGAAGGGAGGTGTGCTTAGGACCACAGCCAAATGTCAACAGCTCCAAGGGCAGACTTCGTCTGAACACCTCAACTTTCCACAGAAACTTAACCGTCTTTTAAGGGCCCTTCCACGCAGCTATATAACCCAGAATGTCAAGACAGACAATCCACAATATCTGCTTTGAACTGGATCATCTGAGTCCACACTGCCATATAATCCAGTTTAATGTGGATTTTATACAGCTGTGTGGAAAGAGCCTGTGTGTGATGTTGCGGGAGGAAGGAGAAAAGAGTGAGGCAGGTGGCTTGGCCTCCCTTCTCAAATGAGGACCCTGCCTGAGTTCTGGGGGGTGACAACTCCCAACCTGGCTGGAGACGTTCAAAGGGAAGGGAGAGGCCCAGGAGAGGCGGCAAGGGGGAGGCTGGAGGCCGCCACGCTTCCCTAAAGGCTAGGGACTGGGGACTGAGCGGGGGAGGAAGTCTTTGGCCCCCTCTACACTGCCATATAAAAGCCAGGTTATCTGCTTTGAACTGGCAGTGTAGACGGGGCCTTTGCCTCGTCGGAACGAATGCAGTTGGAGGCCCCTTGGGCTGCCATGGCTCCCTGCGAGGCAACCCTGGGAGCTCCTTCTCTGCCGAAGAGTGAGGGCGCTTCAGGCTTCACCCAGCTGCGACTCCCATGAGCCCCCCACGGCCTTGAGCCATGGCAGAGAAAGCCTCCGTCCTCTCTCCCCTTCCACACAGCTGTATAAAATTCCACATGTTCTTCTTTGAACTGGGTTATCTGGCAATATGGACTCAGAGAATCCAGTTCAAAGCTGGCATTGTGGCTCATCTGCCTTGAAATTCTGTGTGGAAGGGCCCAGAGTCCTGAAAATGGATATCCAAGCCCGTACAGGACCGTGATGGAGGCAAAAGTGACCAGGACAGGTTTGGGGTGGGAGCAAAAGAGAGGAAGCGCTTGGAAAGACCCGGGAGGAGCAGGCGAGCGACGAGAAGGGGCGAGAAGACCCGGGAGAAGGAGGGGTGCCGTTTGACGCCACTGGAACTGCCCTGGCTCAATGCTATGGAGTGGTGGCACCTGTAGCAGGCTTTCGCGGAAGTCCAGGCCGCTACACAGAGACAGCATCGCGGCGGGACAGTTCCAAGCCGAGCCAAGGGCACGCGCCCTCCTCATTCCCTCTCCCCCTCCCTCCCTCGCGCGCTGGGCCTAGGCTGTCCAGGGAATGGAGCCCGGCGCCGCTCGCGCCAGGCCGGTCGCTCCGATGGTCATAGCGCGGCGGCGGCGGCAGCGTAGGCGGCGGCGGCGGGGTAAGGGTCCATGGGCGGCTTGCCCATCCCGGGCAGGAGGATGTAGGCCAGCGGCGGAGGCTGGAGTCCCGGGCCGGGCCAGGCGCTGCAGTTGCAGGGGATCATGTAGCCTGGATTGCCCGGCGACGGGTGCGAGTGAGTGTGGGCCCCCGCTGCTGCCGCCGCCGCCGCGTGGAAGGCGCCCACCGTCGGGTAAGCCAATGAAGACGCCGTGTAGGGCAGCCCCGCCGCCGTGGTCACCGACCCGGAGGACGTCGAGGAGGAGGAAGAGGAGGAGATCTCCGCGGCCATCTTGGAGCCCAGGTCCAGGAGTGAGTAGGGCCCCACGCTCGGAGGGAAGAAGACGCGCGCGGCGGCGGCGGCTGCGGCGGCGGCGGCCTTCTCCGGGTTGAGCAGCGCCTCGTGGCCGTGGAAGGCGGCGGAGGAGGCCTTGAGGTGCGCGTGGTGCGGGTGGTGGGCGCCCAAAGGGTGGTGGTGGTGGTGGTGCGGGTGGTGCTCCTCGGGCGGGAGGGCGTAGGGCCCCACCACGGGGAAGGCGAACTTGTCCTTCTTGAGCAGCGTCTTGGGCTTGCGGCGCGGGCGGTACTTGTAGTCCGGGTGCTCCTTCATGTGCATGGCGCGGAGGCGCTTGGCCTCGTCGATGAAGGGCCGCTTCTCCGCCTCCGAGAGCAGCTTCCACTCCGCGCCCAGCCGCTTGGAGATCTCTGAGTTGTGCATCTTGGGGTTCTCCTGCGCCATCTTCCGCCGCTGCGCCCGCGACCACACCATGAAGGCGTTCATGGGCCGCTTGACGTGCTCCGACGGCTTCGCCATGCCGCCCACTCCTCCTCCTCCTCCTCCGCCGGCGGCGGCAGAGGCCACGGCCACCGCGACGGCGCCCAGCCCCTCGCCGCGCGCCACGCGCAGGAAATCAATGGTGGCTCCGAGGGGCGCGCGAGCTCCAGGAACTCCCTCCTCCCTCCCTCCCTCCCTCCCTCCCTCCTTCAGTCTGCCGGCAACCTGGCTGCGCTCGGCCTCAGCGCGGGCATCGGGAGCCGCTCCCAGGAAGAGTCCGCCTTCCAAGGGGGAAGTCAAGCCAAGGAAAGGTGAAATCGGGGAGCGCAGGTGCGCGGGATGGAGTTGCTGCTGCTGCTGCTGCTCCTCCTCCTCCGGCTGCCCTTGCTTTGGGCCTCTAAACTTTCCTTCTCTGAAGCTCTTCCTCGCCTGCCATGCTTTCGGGATAAGTTAGGGACAAGATCCCCTCCTCCTCCTCGTCTCCTTGTCCCCACTTGACAGGATTCACAACTCTGTCGAGGATCCCGCGCTCTCCCTGCCTCCGCACCCAAACTTGCCGCAACTTTCCGGCGTCTGCTGCTCCGAGCGCGCCTCCCTCCTCGGCTGAAAGGGAGGGGCAACCAGCGAGAGAGCGGGGACTCCGATTTCGCTGATTTATAGGCGGAAAAGCTCCTCGCCCCGACGCCGCGTTCGCCAGCGAGAGGTAGGCTTCTGCTGCTGCTGCTCTTGCGGCGTCTCGCTCTCCCTCTTTCTCTCTCTCCCTCTCCCTCCCTGCCTGATTGCAAAGCCTGTCTGGTGCCTGCGCGCGCCTCTGTCTGGGGAACTGAGCGAGGGGGCGGGGCCGCCGGAGAGGGAGTGGGCGGGGCGTCCCCGGCCAATTTTGGCCCCGCCCCTCTCGTCCCGGCCCATTGATTAAAGGGCGCGCGCTTCCGCCTCCCATTCACACCGCCGCGGGGSCCGGGATGGGAGCGCGCTTGCGCAGTAGCATTCCCCCCCACCCTCTCTGTCGAGGCTTTTGCCGCCTTTCCCAGAAGCCGGCTTTTTGAGTTCTGATCAGCCCCGYAGTAACTGGAGGAAGGAGAGAAAGAGCGCGGAAGAGGRAGGAAGTCAGAAGGGAAGGGGATGGGGAGGGAAATTTCTCATTAATTCCCAAAGTTTCCGTCCCCGCAGAAGAACTAATCAGGTCCTACGTTGGGAAACTCCTGTTGCCATAAATCCCCCTCCTTCTTTTCTTTTTTCTTTTTGCAAGTGTGAATAGCCGAGGAAACGCAACGCRTTTTTGGTGGCTCCTTTCATAAGGACGTCTTCTCAGGAGACGTCTTTGTATTGTCGAAGGCTTTCATGGCCGGAATCACTGGGTGTTGTAGGTTTTTCGGGTTGTATTGGCCATGTTCTAGAAGCATTCTCTCTTGACGTTTCGCCTGCATCTGTGGCAAGCATCCTCAGAGTTCTCTTTCTTTGGGTGAACAACACACTGGAGAGTTAATGCGATTTGGCACCGCTTTTAACTGCCATGGCTTCATACGACGGAATCCTGCTCTTAAAAGCAAGAGGACTGATTTTGAGCTGTATTTGTATAAAGGGAAATAGTGCAATTCTATCAAATGTGGATTTTTAAAAAATTAAAAAGGAAAATAATACTACGGAATCCTAGAAACTGTCCTTTAGTGAGACCCCAACGCTCTTTGGCCGAGGAGGTCAAAGACCTTATCAAACCACAGCTCCCAGAACCCCATAGCATTCAAGCATGGCAGGTGAAGGGGTGGCAAACTGCATTCATTCTACAACGTCGAGGCCTCCAAGGACGCATCCTTGGGCAGGCTTTTCCCTCGCACACAACACGAGAAAGAGAGTCCTGAGCGGGCATTTCATGGTGGGAGATACTATGTGAGGCCCTGGAATAAGCACGCTTAATTCCCTCCTCAGCCCCAGTTTGCAATACAACTCTTGGTGCCCCTCCCCCATGGAAGAATATAAAGAAGAAAAGGAGGAAAAGGGGGAGGAAGAGGAAGAAGGGAAAGAAGAGGAGGAGGAAGAAGAGGAGGAGGAGGTAGAAGAAGAAAAGGGAGGGGGAGAAGAGGAGGAAGAAGAGGAACAGGGGGAAGAAAAGGAGAAAGAGGAGGAGGAAGAAGATGAGGAGGAGGAAGGGGAGGAAAAGAAAGAAGAGGAAAGGAAAGAAGAGGAGGAGAAAGAGGAGAAGGAAGAAGAAGAGGAGGAAGAGGAGGAGTGGATGGGCGAGATGGGAGGAGGGAGAATGCCTCAGACGACTCAGTTCCTCCAAAGGATGTATTTAAACAAAGGAACTTTCTCGGGAACTTTTCCCTCTTTCCACGGGAAAAGGGAAAAGTCCTCTGCGCCCAGAATCAGGCGCTTTGTGGAAGCGGCATCTGCAGACTGCAATTCGTGTTAGAACTTCAGCTGTCAGGGCTCAATGCTATGGAATCACGGGAGATGGAGTTTGACAAGGTTCTTTCTCCTTCTCTACACAAAAGTGCTGGCGTCTCATCAAACTGCAACTCCCAAATGAATTCATTCCTCAGAATAGATGCATCACCCAAGGAGGACTCCAACCTCTTCGGCGGGTGGGATGGGATGTTATTGGGGCTCCTCACACTCTTCTGGGCTTCTTTCCTGTTTCGTTTTCAAAGTGGCCGAATTTCAAATAACACCCCCCGAAAATCACTTTAGTGGTCTGCATCCACAGAGGAGATGACACCTCCCACCAAATCATATTAATATCATCATCATTATCATCATCATCATCATATACCCCGCTTTTTTCTCAGGCTTGAGACCCGTTTCAGTTTGGTGATTGTACTTTCTCTCTTTAGTAGCTGGTTAAACCCAACTAGAATATATAGAACTATAGATTCTATAGAATGACAACTCGTTTAGTAATTACCTCCACTTCTTTGGGTCTTTTCTAGTGGAGGCTCACTGTCCCAGTAGTTAAATGCAGCTTGCTAAAGTAATCCATCTTGGCTGCACCAGAGAACAGGATAACATTGATTGACTAAATAATAGAAATAACAAGGAGGAGGACTACCAGGAGAAGGAGGAAGCAGAGGAGAAGGAAGGAGAGGAAGAAGAAATTGGTCATCAGATAAGAAAATCACTGCGATCCACTTTATATCTCCACAGTTTTAATAATATCTCAACAGGACTGAAAACCCCAGTGGATTCCCGAAAGAAACAGGCAAGGAGTGATAACTGTAGAGAAGCTGCTTCTTTCAAGTCCAAATGCATGACAGGTTTGTCTGCTCCAGAGGTAGATCCTTTCCGAATGTTTTGGACTACAGTTCCCATCATCTCTGAAAGCGACAACCAGTTCAGGCGGACACTTTTTCCCACCTGAGATTGAAAACCAAACCAGCCTTGGATTTGCAGCAGGACTTGTATTTCTGGGACTCCAACCAGGCGAGGGGGGCAGTCGAGGGGGAAAAATGTTTGAAGTTGAGAGGTTGCATTGGGGGGAATATTGAGGATTTTCTCCACTTTTCCATTGAAGCCAAAGGGGGTTAAACATTCACAATTGCTTCAAGCAGACAAGAGTCCTTTCTCCCACCCTGCACATTTCACAGATATATAAACCTCACTTGCCTAGTTTCCAACAGACCCCTCAACCTCTGAGGATGCCTGCCATAGATGTGAGCGAAACGTCAGGAGAGAATGCTTCTGGAACATGTACATCCAGTTCGGAAAACTCACAACATCCCAAAGGTTAAACTGCTGGACGCAGTGTGTGTGGGGAAATTCTTCCAATGATGTAAGGTAAAGGTAAAGGTAAAGGTAGTCCCCTGACATTAAGTCCAGTCATGTCTGGGGTGTGGTGCTCATCTCCATTTCTAAGCCGAAGAGCCAGCGTTGTCCATAGACACCTCCAAGGTCATGTGGCCGGCATGACTGCATGGAGCGCCGTTACCTTCCCGCCGAGCGGTACCTATTGATCTACTCACATTTGCATGTTTTCGAACTGCTAGGTTGGCAGAAGCTAGGGCTGACAGCGGAACCGCTCCCCGGAATCGAACCTGCGACCTTTCGATCAACAAGCTCAGCAGCTCAGAGCTTTAACCTACTGCACCACCGGGGGCTTCTCCAGTGATGTAAAGACACCAAATCCCGTCTTGGGACCTTGGAAGCTGAGCAGGAGCAGCCCTAGTTAGGACTTAGATGGGATTAAAATGGCAATTAATACCATTTTAGGCGATCCGGAATCACATTGGGCTGTCAAAAAGAATGCAGTTTGACCCCACTGTAACTGCCATGGATCAATGCTATGGGATCTTGGGAGTTGTAGTTTCGCACGGTCTTTAGCCTTCTCTGCGGAAGAGTGCTGATGCCTCACCAAAACTATACCTCCCAGGATTCCACAGCACTTAGCTATGGCAGTCAAAGCAGTGTCAAGCTGCAGGAATTGTACAGTGTGGCTTATTTCTATGTCTCTGTAGACCAGAGTGAAGATGAAATACTTTGGCCACATCATGAGAAGACAAGAAAGCTTAGAGAAGACAATGATGCTGGGGAAAATGGAAAGAAAAAGGAAGAGGCAAGATGGATAGGTGGTATCCTCGAAGTGACTGCCTTGACTCTGAAGGAGCTGGGGGTGGTGACGGCGGACAGGGAGCTCTGGCGTGGGCTGGTCCATGAGGTCACGAAGAGTTGGAAATGACTGAACAGAGATTGTTTTTGCCTTCATCTGAGGCTGAGAGAGTGTGACTTGCTCAAAGAGCTTGGAACTGGTCCAGGAGGTTATGAAGAGTTGGAAGCGACTGAACGAATAAAACAACAAGGTAGACCAGGGTTCAAGTCTTAGCTAGGCTTGACTTGGGCAGGTCGCACTCTCTCAGTCTCGGAGGAAGACCAAAGTGAAACCCCTCAATGCGAAGAAAAGCCCCTGATAGTGACTCCAGAAGTCGGGAGCAACCTGAAACACACAGGTCGCTAAAAGAATGTTATTTTACATTAGTAAACCTGCTCCAAACTTGGGCCCTCCAGGTGCTTTGGACTTCCCACAATTCCTAGCAGCCTACCGGAGTTGTGGGAGTTGAAGTCCAAAGCACCTGGAGGGCCCAAGTTTGCTCATGCCTGTTTTAGACTGTACTTTAAACAGTTTGCCCAAGAAGTGGGCGAAGTTCAGCACCCAAAGAAATCGGACTAAAACTCAATACGAGAGTCTCTCTCAAACACCCTTCCTTCCTTCCTTCTTTCCTTCCTTCCTTCCTTCCTTCCTTCCTTCCTTCCTTCCTTCCTTCCTTCCTTCTCACTCAGGACCCCCTCCCACCCAGACTGACTCTGTCTTCCTTGGACAGCCAGCCAACCCGCCCCCCTCCTCCCCCGAAACCGAAGGGCCGACTAATCCCCTCGCCCCAAGAGAGCCAGCTCTGGAAAGCCCCAGCATATGGCGAAATGCTACACCCTTCAACAGTCCAAAAGAGCCACGATTAAA